TGCCGGTAGGTTCAGCTTTTTTGTGATTTTTCGGCCAGCCGAGGTCCCTTAACGTGTTTTTGGGTAAGAATACGTGTAGAATAGATCAAAATTGGCCAAAATCAATCAAAATCGACCAGGTCAAGGTGAACTACCACTATGGGCGGTAAAGCTGGCACCAAAGCACGGCGGCGACGCCGTGCTAGAACCCTAAAATTTTTCGAAAAGAGTTTTGGACACTGATTTTAGATGTTTGAGGTATTTTTAGGTACGTGACGAGTGTTTTGGATTCTGCAGCAAAAGTTTAGGAAACTCGGTACCCGTTAGGAGGCGTGGTAGACAACACGACATCTCAAAACATCGATCTGGGTAAGGATCTCTCACCCTATTTCCTGTTACGGTAAATTGAGATTTAACGATGTATAATTTTGTATTTTGTGAAAATTTAAAAAATCTTAAAAATAATTACCGATCACTAGTGAAGCCGAAATTGATTAGTTCACAATTTTTCTGAACTATTCTACTTATTTGTTATTGTATTGTTCATGTTCTTAATTTATAGTTTCTTTGGTCTTATCGATTTATCTGTTTTATTCGGTTATCTGTTACTCGATCCCTTGTTATGATAAGTTATATCGTCTATATAAATATCACCTGATTGATTTATATATATAATATGAGATATATGTATGTGTTTATTGGTTGTTTTGTTGATGAAAATATTTATATGAGAGACTTACTAGGTACTCAGGGAAAGGGCAGATGAGCCTGGTACATAGGAAACCCTACTATGAACGTTGCCTCAGTCGAACGGGGCAGAAAAGTCCCTTACCAGAAAGGTTTGAGAGATATGGTTCACCCTTATACCGGACGGGGTACGGGAACGGTCGGTTAATTGTTAAAATTAGATATTGGATTCACGAATAGGAAAAAATCCCTGTAGACACCCAAGGGTACCAGTAAGTAAGTAAGAAAGAAAAATTATCGTCTTTTGTTTTCTTATGTGTGAAAATGAAAAGTGGTATAGATATGGGTCTCCATATGTTATTTTTTTTAGAAAACTCTTTACGATAAGTATCAAACAAACGTTTTTAAGTTAAATATATTTAATTGAAGCTAGAGCCAATTAATTATTATTTTTTTATTTTTACCAATCTTTAATTTTTTGTATTTGTATTAGTGTGATATTCTTACTGGATCAGTGTAGCTCAACCTTTCATTAATCATTTCAGATCAAGAAAACTAAGATCAAGATCCCGATCAGTAAGAGGGTTGTGAGTAGTTTACCACTTGGACTCCCTTCAAGTGCTAGTGAAGGTTGTCTTAGGATGCTTATTTATTTACTTTTTTTTTATTTCTTTAATTACTGTTTGTCTTTTAGAAGAGACATTCCTATAGTCTTATTGGACATTCTAAATTATTGTGTGAGAAATGTAAATCATAATTCTATTATTCACTTTCGCATTTAAATTATAAATTTATTTTCTTTAAGGTTCCGGACCTTTATAGTTGGTATCATATCCGCATTTTTTCGGAACCATTTCTTACACAAAGACTTAAAAATACCAAATACAAACTATCACTTAACCCTCCCTTATGAAATGCAGGTACAAGAATATGAGGAGATGAGTGCCACCACTAAATCGAGCAGGCCGGGATGGTTCACTTTAAGATAATGTTGATCGACTCTTTGAGATGGTGGAGAGACTCATCTCTACCTAGTAGGCCTGAGAGGAAAGGAGGGAGCTGTCTGACCCTCCTCTGTTGCCATAGTTTGAGTCACCCTTGCAACAAAAAGATCTGGAGCCACCCCAGTACAACCCTACTCTTCTACCATACCTTCTGGCACCGCTACATTACAACCTGGTGCCTCCATCACATCATTCAGCACCGCTACAGTACAATTCGGTGCCTCCACTGTATCATCTGACACTGCCACAGGACCACTCGGTCCCTCTCCAGTATAATCAAATCCCTCTTCCACGGGACTCAGTTCCACCCATGATGGACCCATACTATATTGAAAGGTACGAAAGACTAAACTTATCTACCTTTGTAGGAGTATCCTCTTTTGAAGGGGCCGAGTATTGGTTAGCTGAGATAGAGAAGGCCTTAGCGACTCTTGGGGTAGTTTCCAAACAGAAAGTTGTACTTGCTACCTACATGCTTCCAGTCACCTGGAAATAGTTCTTGATGGCCTTCAATGTAAAGTACCTCCCAGAGCACTTCTGGCATTTAAAGAAAATAGAGTTTGCACACCTAGTTCATGATGATATGACTATGTCAGAGTATGCCCGAAGGTTCCTAGAATTGGGCTGATATTCCACTGAGAGCATGAGGGATGAAGGCAGGAAGGCAATGAAGTTCGAGTGGGGCTTCTATCCTGAGATTATACAGCAGTTGTACATATTTGAGCTTAATAATTACTCAACTATTTTGGCCAAGGCACTGGTAGTGGAGAGGAACCTTCGCATCTTTTCTCCAATAGTGGGGAATCTCATATCCCTGGTTTCACACTGCAGACTAGCACCCACCGCACCAGTTCAATAAAATAAGACACCTAGGTTAGTGACTTAGGTTCCTCTTTAAGCTCCGGTAACAGGACGCGGTAGGACCTTCCAGCATTATGACAAGGATCATAAGGACCAACCTTACTATCGCCTCAACAATATTTGCTGCGTATGTGGGAGTGCCCAACACTGCGCGAGAGAATGCCCGCGAAATCAAAACCAAGCTAGACCTTTTATCCAGGGCATTTACAACCTCACTCAGTAGGATGGTGAATCTAACCCAGACATGATACATGGTACGTACACTATCTGTAATAACCATGCACATGTTTTGATTGATATTAGTGCTTCACATTCATTTATCTCACATGCTTTTACACCAAACTTGAATGTATTACTTGAAAGACTTAATTCTGCGTTATTTGTATCTACTCTTGAGAGTAGAACACTACTAAGGGAAGTTATATACAAAGCTTATATTATAGACATAGTAGATAGAAAATTAAGTATAAACCTAATATAGATTGATATGGA